GAGAGAGAGCTGGCGGAAATGAGAGTTAGAGAGAGAGAGCTGGCGGCAATGAGAGTTAGAGAGTGAGAGGTTCGAACTAAACCTCCCTCTAACACTCTAAACATTTTATTAAGTTAATTAATCTTTGAAATATTACAGAGAGGCCCTTGAGTGGGCAAGAAATTACAAAAACAGAACATTACAGAGTATGGGYCCAAAATAAGGCCCATTACAAAGGGAAACATAAACATAACATGAAATAACAATCTATGAGCCATTCGGCCCATCTCCTCTACAATATCTTTACTATTTATTGTTCTATTTTATGAGTGGGTTAGTTCTTTCACATTTATGCCTAGAATACCTATTAGTTAGGGGTATAATAGTCCACTTGGTGGTTGTAAACTTGTAATGTTGAGCATTTAGAAGATGAAAGGCGACAAGGCATTTCTGGAGGTTGGTTCAGTGGCACCTGTATAGTTGGAAGGGAAGCAGCTGGGAAAGGAAGTGAGACAAAACTGCTGGTAATCACCCCCTAGTTGTTGATCTTAACAATGTTGTCAGATGGTGACAAGAAGACTGAAATGGAGGCTAAGAGGCTTTTTGACAATGGAAGAARTTTCTGAACTTAATGACTTATTGCGTTGCCTTTTAGTGGATTAAACAAATAACTAAATAATAAAATATTCGAGGTATAATTATCAACTCAATTTATCCACTAAAAGACAGCATAATCTTTTCAGTTCAGCAACTTGAGCTGTTATCAAATGGCCCCTAAGAATCTAAAACTATACAGGCACACAAACACAGGGGAAGTTCCATTGCACTTGTCGTGTATTCATACCAGCAATTTTAATTTGTGATCTTTGGAATATTGGAATACACACACATACTATTTTAATTTTTTAACAAGCATAGTAAACCTGGTGGAATAAAGAAGCCCAACCTTCTTGTAGAGCCTTGCATAAGCTTCCCATCGTCTTATCTGAAAAGAAGATCTCCTGTCAGCAACTGCTTCAGAAGCTTCAAGACCAAATCTCACAGCCACAAGTAGCTCCCTTCCATCCTTATCTACCCTGTTAAATTTTGTATTAGTTTGAGAAGTAACTTGCAACACATTAGCAGAATAATTGGGATATTTGAAATTAGCTCACCTAACAATAACTGCTGGAAGTAAATGACTTCCTTCCACTCTAAGAGCTGGATGTCCTACTTTTAGGGGACCATACTTTTCCAGTGCATCGTATTCTGCAGAATTATCATCCTCCAATTCTTTAGATTCATAGGGAGTTGAATTTTTTTCAGCATCATGTAAGGTACTCATGGATGGCATCTTGTTTTCAGTTTCCTTATAAAGCCAATGTGCAGCAAGTCCATATTCTGCACACTCATGCATCCTCTACGGTCACAGTCYCACAATTAGTATAACCTAAAAAAAGTAAAACCACCCTGATGATGAAAGTCTTATGTAAAGTTGGAATATTTATTATACCTGTGTTCTTATTTGGATTTCTAAAGGTGCATTATCGGGACCTTGTACTGCAGTATGGAGAGACTGCAATTAGAAGGAAAATATTAGTGTTTACAAGTTGACTGAAYCAATGATAGAAGTGATGTTTTACACTCAGAGGTTGAGAGTCAAACTCAAATATCTAGGATGTTATGGAAGTCAAAGAGATGAAAATGCTAAAATGAAAAAATTATGATCAATAGAACTAAGGGTACAACTGGGCCAAATTAGGTCAATAATCTAATGTAACATGTTCACTGTTTTTGTCTTTGTGTTTCCTTTCAATTTCCACATTCAACATTTGACTGACAAAGCAACTGGAAATATTGTATTATAAATAAGAAGATATTAACCTGATAACCACTATGCTTTGGATTAACAATGTAATCATCGAACTCACCGTCAATAGGGGTCCAGAGCCTGCATGAAACAAGGGCAAGTAGTATGTAAATTTAGATCACTGTCGTGTTATAAAAAATGCACTGTGCATCAAAAATAATTATTGTAACATGGGATGCTTTCTTTATCACAATAACAGGAGTATGAACAAAGGCATACGAAAATATAGATGACATGTTGCTACTTTAGTTGGTAGTAGAGATGAAATGTATATTGGATTATCAAATAAATCTACAAGATTATGGTGATATACATAGACGTGGAAACATGTAGCCATACCCATCTTCAGAACAGTTAAGYTGAATCATGTAAATTAATTGTCAATAGAGTGGACATATAAAAGGATAAAGAAGCAAGAGAAAGTGATAACTGGTAAAGATGGGATGTAGAGTATAGCATTTTCAGTAACTTATAAGTCAGCATTTTTTATCAGCAAACTTATAACTCGGCATTTTAAGGACTTTCTACTTATAGCATGCTCCAATTTTCAAAATCTCTATTTATAGTACATTCTGAATTTATAATTTATGGTGTATCCAATTTTCCTGTTTTTAATAGCTTCCACGAGTCAAACTTTTCCAAGCCACTATTGCATAAAAACCTTAATCCAGTCTCTATTAAACAAAAAAAAAAGGATTGCCTCCCTTGAATCAATTCCCCTTGATATGAAGAATTAATTCCATCCATCACTACTTTCAGTCTTGATGCCAAAACAAAGATAATAAGCATATATCCATTGCTTATGAAAATAGGCTATAGTCATTACRTTCATGGCTTTCACTTTCTTTGAGATGGATAGAATTAACCTAGGAATCACACCATTCCAAGTAGCACCCCTGTGAACCTCCTCCATGACTGTCTGAGCGTTTCTTGAAAGCTTCATACAGAATGCCAATACAAAAACCATAAGATCGTAATGCATTATCCCCACTCAAATGACCCAGTGCTCTCAATGCTCATCCTTGCTGAGTTCCTGTCTCCAACCTACCAAACATCATATATAGCTTGAACTAAGGAATGCAACGAACCAGATCTTATCAGTAGGATTTTACCTCTTCAGTCCTAATTGTATTCTCCTTGACCAAGTTTCTGACAATTTTAAGCTTCTAAATGGCATTGTACTTTAGATATTTTCACCCTTCTAAAGTGAAGATAGCAATTGAATTTTGATGTCAATTATCCTTGAAATTGGTACTTTTAAACCTTATTAGTTGCAAACAGATTTCCTTCCAAGCTTTCAAGCTACTTCTTAATGCCTTAATTTTAAAAGACTTTCTTATTTCCTTCCTTTATCTCCTGTTCAGGTCTTTCAATCTCTAAAACAAAAGAAAAGATGATTTTGCTTCGCACTAGAGACAGATCACCAAAGTTTCACTAACTCCACAATTTTCAATTCTCCATTCACGTTCTCAAAATGAAAAGGAGCTACCTCTGATTCATCAGTCTATAATTGACCAGGAATGGCCTATGGTCTAAGATACATCTACCAATAGTTATTTGTGTGATCTTTGGGAATTGGGAATAATTCATTAGGCTAGGTTAGGGGAACATTTATGAATAAATTTTGAATCTAGTGCTTTATTCTTTTTCTTCTTTTGAGATCCATTATTTACAGTCTAATAGGATGGTATTTAACATATTCTAGTTGCCAAGACTCAATTTCTTGTTTACTATAGGGTATTTTCAGTAATGACCAGTATTTCTAGTCTAGTTTATTTAATTRAGGCCCACCTTGTGCCAAATGTTCTTTCAAAGTGACAAGTGAAATCATACAAAAGGTGTTTATGAGTGTGAGAGTTTATCATCCAACAATATATCAAAGTTAAGAGTACTCTAGCTGCACAGATGCAAAATCTTTTAGCTTAGAAATTTGAAATACTGTGAAAAAAACTATTAATCTCTTCATTCACCTGTGCACAATGTTAAGAAGGCTGTAGCAACACTTAACTGCAGCTCCATACAATGCCCCATTATTATCACCAACAACAACCCTTAGTGCACGGGCATCATACACTTGCCTGATGCCAACATTTTTACGTTTCATCTACTTAGGAAGCACAGTGAAAAAAACATAGATAAGAATAGAAATTTCTATTATAAAGAAGTAAGCTTTACAGTAAAGGTTTATTTAATGAGGTTCCATACAAGGTTCAAAATTTTGATACGTACAGGCCGTATCAGCCAATACGTATTGTATTGAGGGCTTCCTGATACACCCCTAAAKGGGGTGTTTTGGGGTTTAACCCAGTTCATGGGGTAGACAGGACTTRAACCGACCCCTCTGAACCAGATTTTAAAAAAACCAAAAAAAAGGGGAGCAAGCCCTGATACAGTCCGATACACCCTACCGGTGTATCAGGCTGTATCGATATTTTGAACCTTGGTTCCATCTATATGATGAGATGAAAGCATTCCATTGAATTAATTGATTGAGTATTTCAGATAAAAATATTTTGATAAATATCAACAAGGATAAAGATATAATTGCAGATATTTTAATGCCAAAAACAAAACTAAATGAATTGATACAAAGAAATGAGGTTTACAGTAAAGGTTTACTTAGTGAGGCTCAAGATGATGGGAAGTGTAAATGCATTTCCATGGAATTAATTGATTGAGTATTTCATATGACAATCTTTTGATAAATATCAAGAAGCATAGAGACGTAACTAAATAACTTTCAATGCCAAACACAAAACCAAATGAATTGATAACAAGAATGTTGGAAACATAAAACCAAACTCTTTCCATGAGAAATTAATGCATTTCCTTAACACATGTTTCTTGATATGTGTTTTGACTAAACATTCAGATATTGGGACTACGGGTTTTCAAATATTGGGAGCATGGGTTTTGAGGAGTCAACCCATTGGGCGCCTTCCAAATTCCAATCCCTCTATCGTTGAATATCCGCACAAGAGGCCAGCTTGACACCATTACTACTGTAGCAGTATGGTTCCAAGAGGATTTTTATATCAGGTTCAGTTTTAAAATCTAAGAAAATATAGTGTGTTTTTGTGATTTTCAGTTCAGTACTAATTTGCCTATTGTTGTTCACTTAAAATACTGTATATCTTGATTGTTTGCCCACATCAGAAAGAATGTCAATTCCCTTTTTTCATGCATGTTTTTTGAGCCAAATACCCTTTCTCACATGTTTGGTATTGAATTTTCTTCTCCATATTTTTATACATTAACTTTCAGTATTTTCTCTTAATCACTGTCAGAATACCACAGACATGTCATACAAAGCACCCTTTTCCCTATCTGAACCAACAAAGATGCACCTTGATCACTTGTCCCTAGCCCTACTGTGTCAAGGTGCTCAGACAATGAGAACAACTTGTTGAAACATGATGTAAATTGAATTTTTGGCTCCAAAGCTGTCAATAGGTATTTCGTATCCCCCTTGACAAACCATCATCTTATAGCATTCTCTGTTAATATTTTCTCTCAACATTCTTGCCAGACGTATCACACAAAAGCACCCTTACCCTACTCAGAAAATAGAGTCATTTTGACAACTTCATCTTTGTTCTGCTGTGTCTAAGCGCTGAGTTAAACCATTATCTTATTGGCATGAAATTGCTAAATCATACCAAAATTTATATTCCATAATTAACTAGTAGATCTGTTGTTCCCAAGCTTTGGTCCCTTCCTTCCAAAAGAGTGATTAAGTTGATTTGTTAAAATTTGAATGGCCCCAGCTTGAGGGCCCAGGCCTGATGCTGTGAAAATTCTTCAGTTAGGTACCTGACTTGCACCCCCACCCAGGTCACCAAGGTGTTGGTGGTGCTTTCTGAGTACACCAATACTCAGGTCTCATTGGCTATGAGAATCTATTAGATTTAGAATGGAGTTGATGTCTTTACTCCAAGTCTTGCATTTGATTTTCTCTTGGATTTTATTGGATGGAGGTTGAAGGGCTTTGGTCAAATGTTCACTTTCTGTGTGATAGGAGGATTTTAATGGATTAGCCTCTTTATCTTAATGTTTTCAAAAGCCCTTCTGTACAATTTCATACATATTATTATTACCTAAAATACTTTTTGATTACTCAAAAGAAAAAAAAAAGAATTTGGAAACCATTTCCTGTTTYCTGTAGATGGAATTAAGAAGTTCTATTTAATAGAGAGATTGAAGTGATAATTGTTATGCATAAATGCATAATGCCTATGCATGTTGATCATATTTTTCCTTCAAAAGGGAAACAGTTGCTCATATTAACATAGTAAAATATGGTAATTCTAGGAATTCCTAGTAAGATAAAATGGAAAAAAAATCATAATGAGAAAAAGAAATGCACAATAAACTTTTTCTTAGACAAGATGAATCATGACCTAGGTTATACCTTGCAGTACATACTATATAAGCTCTTTAGGCGACTAGATAAGGTTACTTCCATTCCTGGAACATAACTGAAAGTAGAAAAAAACAAATTCAATGTGACTATTAAACATGTATGATATGGTATGAAAAATAAATGGATCGAATTAGAAATTGTGAATGACCCAGATGTCAGATATATAAAAACATACGAAGTTGATATAAATAACTCCCTCTCAAGTGCTTCCTCGCAAACTACCAAAGAAGCTAAAGCAATTCCGGCATCTCTAACAACCTTGGGTTTTGTTTTAGGAGCCTCTGAGTATTCTCTAAGATTATTTAGAAAGTTAGTGCGCTTTCTCCGATCTAGCAAGAGATCAAATGGGAGAACAGCTTGCAGAAGATCCTGCGTAAAAGGAATATCTAGAGAAAATGAGAATACGCATCCAAGAAAACCTAGAGAAACATTAAGGTGCAAATAAATTATCTTTGACAATCCTGAAAGCATAGTAATACAGAACATGGAGAGAATTGTGCAGTTAACATCCAGTATCTCAATTTAGAAATCTTGATAGGTTATAAACTTTTGACACTTTCTTATTCACATTTTCTTGTGGCAAATACATTCAAAGTAATTCATGAAGGGGCCATAGCTTGGTAAAATTTCAGGCTGACAAGCATGAGAACACAGGTTTCAGTCTGAAAGCAGCCACTTTGTGCTAAAATGCCAGAGGCTAGGTCCATAATTCCCAGGACTCTTGTGGCCAGGACCAGTATTGGTAATGCCCTTTTCTATTTCCAGTTATCCATAAAGTGGGAAAAGCTAATTTGAATTGAAGAAAGAAAATCTGAAGAAAATGCAAAATTCAAAGCCATCAAAATTACAAAAACTCTTCCACAGAACCTGTACTACCTTCATGGTTGATGGATCTTCCTCAGTTGCCATAAGCCCTTCGTAGTCAGAAATTATATCATTTTCGTGCAAGGGCACAAATGTGCTGGATTTAGTGGATATTCTTCTCAGAATTCTTGCCTTTTTGTTAGGGTTCCACATTGAAGCTAGCTCAGCTCGCATCCGACGGAAGGTTTTAGGCTGTATACATTAACAAATAGTCAAATACTAAACATGATTGAATTATTGAGTTTCAACTTTCTCAGATAAGGTAATAGGAGAAAAACAGAAATAACATCAAAATGCACACTTACAAACATAGGTCAAGAAGTATTGATAAAGCAACTTGATTCATAAGATGATTTTGAAGAAAAACAAGCCCATAATATCAAAAAATATTTTTGCAACTTTTACTGAGATGTCTTCAAGGTACCAACAACCATTTAAAACATCTTTAATATGCATTAATAAATGAAATTCGCATCTGCTAAGGAACATTAAAGAAGTTAGTGACAAAACCTGAATAACTGCAAAGCATAGATCTTCCAGCTCAGCTTTTAGAGCCCATACACCCAATCTGGAAGCAAGTGAACACCAAACAGCCAATGTCTCCTGTGCAACAGCTTGAGCCTTGGGAGATGAAAGAGCATAACTGTAAAAGATAACACATAGAAATGTGACTTCATATGATAACATTATGATCAAAACATTAACCAAAGCAACCAATCCAACCAGAAAAAGACAAAAAACCATATAAGTTCAATACCGCATTTTAAGTTTCTCAAATTGAAATGATTAACCTAAACATGACTAATAGAAAATTTATTGACAAAAATGCCACGAGAAGAATATTACTCAATTTTTGAATTGATAACARAAGAACAAAAATACCACAAATGGTTTGGGTACTTTACATGGTTCTCATATTATGAAGGCGATCTGCGAGCTTGATAAGAACAACACGGGGATCATCTACCATGCCCAAAAGCATCACTCGTAAATTATTAACCTGAAAATCCAACAAATGAAACCTATAAGATAAATAGAACCATTATAGCTACAAACTATGCTTTGGTGTTTAACTTTCAAAGAACTAACTCATAAGATAAATTCAATTGGCTTATCATGAAAATGCATAATTTTTCATGAAATTACAGTACTTCCTTTTAAAGGTAAAGTATGATACCTTTTTATGGAAAGGGTTTTAAGTTTTAAGTATATTAGAATTGCAGAAGGTAATTTGGACAATACTGAGTTCTTCAATGACATCTTCATGATTTAACAATTAAGTAACCAGCAAATATTGTTTGGATCTACATAATCCTATTTTATTCCTTGAATTTTACGGGATAAACTGCTTGCAATATATTATAGCTTCAACAGCATGAGTATCAGTTGTTCACAGATTATTTTAACCTTCTAGGTGACACATATATACATACATAAGTGTGCATGGTATGTTAGATTATTTAAAGAAATCTAAAGAACCCAATAATCTTTCAATGCTAAGGTTAGGGTCCCAAAAARATCCATCTTCCCTCACTTTATTTATAAGCCAAGTTTCAGCCTAAGAACCTTTATCATGTGACTAAAAATAAGACCTTTTATGCACATTTATGTACTCACCCAAGATGAAAGATCATGTGGATGTGTAAATAATTCTTACAAAATGACAATTGCCATATCAGATTATTAATTTATCTATGAACTAATGTCTTCTGCCCATACCCATGCTAACCCCAGGCAGTGAAAAGAAACAGTAGTAACAAATTAAGGACATGAAATAACCATATGCATCATTTATCTTCCAATAATTCTGAATCAAAAAGGAAAAGGCCATAGCATGTTTCATCATTATATCAACATATGATTAAAGTAGTACACATACCTCTTCAGGACCAAAATTACCCTGGCTTACATTTGTTCGGCGGTGTCTCCGCAGAAGCTGCAAAATACAAAAAGAATTTGAAAAAAAAAAAAACTTAAATAAAATGAGCAGCTTCTAGGATACTATCTTGATAGGTGATGAAACAATCAACTTGAAGAAAACTATAGGCCCAGTGAACTATGATGGGATGCAAAAGATGGGATTCAGATATGTGTTCCAAGAATTACTCTGGCACTTTATTTGGTCTCATGAATTGGAATTAATTTGCGAAAATTRTGATCAGAATCTCTAAAACAGTTGCATGAATTAGAAGTGGTTTGAGAAGGTTATGATTTGTATATGGGAACATATGGGTATAGAACTAGAGTTCTTTCTTTCTTATCCACTATTTGTTTGCAAGTAATGACTGAATCTCTAGATTGTGGGATTTTTAAGATAAAACATAAATCAGAATCTCAAAAGATCATTAGATACATAATGCATAATAAGAGTCTCCAACTAATTCTTTTGTCGAAGTTATTCACCTCATTCAAGAGATGAGGGAGGTTCTGAAGGATGCAAATATCTCAGGCTGTATTTTTTTTGTAATAGACAATTTTAATTAATCAAGAAATATATACARTACAAGAATTCCTAAGAGAGGCACGAAATGTGACATCTCCTGTCATAATAAGAGAAATTACAGATTACAACTCAGCCCAATACAATTGATCCCTATTCAGTATTTACCTCTTGCTTATATAAGGTATCCACCATCACATTAGCCGATCTCCTCTACCCCTCCTCCTTCAGGAGGCATCCACACCGAGTTTACCCTTCCTTTTTAGAGGAGCTTCTAACCACCACCTCCCACTTTCTTCTCCTCATATCATCGAAAGAGAATTGTGATAAAGTGTCCATAGTTCTGATCCAATGTATTACCCTGGTCATCACACATTCTCTCACTGCTTCCTTCTCTCTTCTCTAAGAAGATTCTTGCATCTGAAGCAGTAAATTTTGTTCACTAACTTCACCTTCCTCTCAAAATAAATAAATAAAGGTCTGTGGAAGAAATCTTCATTTTCCAATATTGAACTTGTTCTAAGAAAGACCATTATTAGGTTCTTCATTTATATTGTAAATAATTCTTATATAACTTAACAATCTTTCATGTTTCATTTAGTAAAAGTTGTCTTGTAATTCATCTTACATGCTACAATGTAAGCAATGTTTTGATTGTTTCCAAGTATTATTAAGAGAGTTTCAGGTTCAGGATTACCTGATTAATGTAGCTTAGCCGGGAAACACCAGCTACCACCTTTGCCACATCATCACCAAATTCTTCTTCTATGCTATGCAGGCTTTCACATGTGTCATCAATCACATCATGTAGAATCCCAGCCACAACTGTATCTATGGCCTGAAGCAGAATTTATTATATCAAACAAAGGAAAATGGGGAGCTGGATTCATGTTGCTAACAAGCATGACTACAAAACTTTATTAATCAAGAAATGTAGACGGCACAAGCATCCCTAAGCACCCTTTTCTAGTTGAAGATAATATCAGTTAACCACCATCATAACAAGCAGCTAGGGTGTACGGCTTGGAAATCTAGACACAGATTAACAGACATTCTTTGGATAATAGGAGCTTAAATGAAAAATATTTTGCATTTGGACTACAAAATTCACATCCATAAGATGGTCAATAAACCAATAAAGCCATTGGGACAATTCAAAATGTATTTTGTTCAATAAACATGTTTTATAGCATCCTTGGAATTACAAACTCTCCAGAAAACCTAATCATAAAACATTTAAACTATATGCCAATAATTCAATTGTAAAACAAGACTGAACAAGTTTGAAATACCCTGATATGGAATTTAATTCCAATGCTCAAAAAAAGAGGTACTTACTCGTTTTCCACTGGATGGAACCAAAGCCGCTAGAATTCTTCCTGTATGAATACAATGTGTTAGATATGGGTCTCCAGTTTTCCTTAGTTGGCCATGGTGAGCTTTCCTTGCAAATGCAATAGCCTTTTGCACCTGCCTTCACAGAGGTTAATGTCTAAGTGACAGAAAATGACTATATGCTTGATGTGATACAGGGGGAAATGATAAACCTTTGCATCATAAAAGATTGGATACCCGGTGACATCTACTCCATCCAATATATGAGAATCTGCATCACATGGATTAGTTGTCTTTATTAAGATGAAGATGTATAAAAAACAAACTCATGAATTTATTTCTGCTTCAAGAGTCTCATAAATACCAGTATACCTTCACTATTATAAAGTCAACTAATTCCATCCTTAACTTCTTTAAATGCCACCATAGCGAGGTGGCAAAAAAGGCTTTTTGGTAAATTAATAAATTCATAAGAAAATAAGCTGATAGTTAAAAACAAGGAATGATCCAAGTTATTCTAATTGTGATTTCAATATCAGAAAGTAGTTAGAGTCTCATAGATAAGTAGTTGAAAAGAGGTTGAGATGATTCCATGTCTTTAACAGTTCAAAGGGGTTTAAACCTATTCTGTAAGCAGGAAGGAAAAAAAAAAATCATCCTCTACATGCTAAAAAGGATAGAGAATAAATAAGTATGTCAACCACTATAATTGTAGAAATAAGAAATAACTTGAATTGAGATAAACATTTAGAGGTTGTTTCAAAACAAAGGAAAGTCTGGTGCTTAAATTAATGACAATGTAATATATATGGGTGTTGTTCAAAATTTCTAAAACTACCCTACAAATTTAGCCTCATCAATTCCAGTGCCGCATGGACTCTCCTAAAGCCAGATCCTGACAGCCCATGGATTCTTGGAGACAAAGGCAATACTTTTTGCAGGTATATAATGTCAGAATTCAAAAATTGTGAACTATTTTGAWAGAATACACTTTTCCTTAGATGTGCCTGCAAGTCCATGTTTTCTCATCTTGCTGAATCAGACTCTTGGACACATATCAGACTCTGACTCCCATGTCTATGTCCATGCAACAYTAATTGATTCATAAAATTCTCCAGTTCAAGCAAGGAAAGGCGCATCTTAATTAACTAGGGCATGGGATGTGGCTAAATATGGTCCTTGACGCATTTGAAAATGAGAAATCAACAAAGCTAAAGTCTCCTACATCACAATCATCTAGAAAACGCCATAACTGTTCCCAATTACCTCATCATCATGATAATACTACAAAATGAAAGAAAAAAATTCATCCACCATATCAGAAAAACCGATCAAATATAATTTTCTAAAATGCTCATGCATAATCAAGTTTGTAACATGCTGCCTCTTCCAAGGAAGTGTCCCTTCACCAGTTTAATTTTCATACTTAAAATAAAATTACTATTTGTTGATTAGTTCAGATTTTCTTCATTCCAACTTGTTTACAAAAGAACCCAAGATAAAAAATTACTACATATGAGTGTATAAGTTATTAATACAAAAAAGACRTGCAATGCATGTCATGAATTTTGTTCAGGCTGAAGTCTGGTTGGATGTTTTGTTGGGGTCAGATTATCTTCTGCATTTCTAGTTAGCTTGGTTGTGTTTATGTGAGAATTAGAAGCAGACCCATTTAACAAATGGATCTATCTTGTAGGCCAGACCCATCTGAACTAACAGTAGAACCTATATTGGCACATTCAGCTATAACTAAGCGAGTTATGGGTACAACTTGGTTCCAAGAATCCAATCAACCAGGAAAGAGGAAAATGTATGCATAAAGGGATAAAAAATGGGAGAAGCTAAGAAGGACAAAAAGAACAAAAGAAAATGAAAAATGAAATGAATGCAAAAGTTGAGGTCTGCATCAATCCAAAAGTGGTCAAAAGGGAAGTAAAGTCCTACTTCTACTGGTCACATCATTGACTGGACTYTGACTTCCTTTTTTTATTATTTTTGGGTGGAGGAGATTCACATAATTGTTCACCTAGGTTTGACCTATCAACCTAGGACTTGACCAAGTCTTCAAACACCTATAGATAAGGTTATCTCAGTTTTAGAAAGGACATATTTATATACAGGGAAGGCAGAGGAAAATGATATGGAGATTCCATCCACCCAAATCAGTGAGTTTGAGCCACCAACCCCACCTCCCTGCATATGCAAATGAAACTCTTTCTACTCAAACAGAGGAAAAGAGATCTTAAAATGCTGATACTTTTGAGATTCCACTTGGCCTATATTGTTCCCAAAGTGAAAATCTGGATAAGGAAAGTGGGATTCTGTTTCTGTTCCAAATTTTCATTTCCCCACCAATCCAAACAAAAACCAATATGATTTCCTAATAAACATCTGGAAGCCACATGGAATGAAGTGGTTTTATTTAATTGAAGATCTCTACCACTTTTAAGGATTCCATTTCAGGATTTCAAGTCATATAAAATTTTCCTTAATCACTGGAATTGGCTCCATTTTGGTGAGGAAACCATAAGTTCAATATCATAGTTGTAGTCAAGGTCAATTCAACACTCAAAACATTAGAAACCAGACGTTTTGTACTGGATTTGTTTCAGAATTAGATATTTAATCCATATTTTATGAGCAATAACTAATTAGTAAGCCAACGGAATGATCAGAATTTGAGTATGTGTTAGAGGTCCTATTATTATATAGAGGTGCTTGTTCAATGAATATGAGGTGATCAACATACCAGTTATTCAACCAAAAAGGACATGGTTTTTAATGCAATGCACTGAACACGCACCCCCTCCAGGATGTCATCTATCACGTCCATGATTTCTTACTCCTTACTCTCTTGAAGCCACATCCTAATACTTAATTATTTATTCTTGTTTGGCCATAACAACGCAAGATGAACGTTGGAGGGGAATACAAATTTTCTCTTTTGGTGGCAAGAACACCAAACAGTGAGCTTAGAGAAACAAAATTGTCAGAATTGTTACTTCTTGAACATGYTCAATAAGGAAATTCAAACACCTCCCAAGCAAGCATAAACCAGCTGATATTACCGTACCAGGTTGCTCCTCCACCTTGGGCCACAAGAAATCAACCTTAGTAGAAAGACAAGCTCCTGAAGCTATAGCCACCGCAGTGACAGCAACATGAGCCAACGCCGAGGTCACTGCCGCATGAGCTGAACCAGAGCCAGTCGTGGCCGCAGCTGCAGACGCAATCGCATTCCCGGTAGTCAAAACCGAATTCAGCGATGAAGAGATGGCAGTGAATTTCGGAGGAATCTGGTCCAAAACACACCTAAACTTCACCGAACTTCTAAGAATTCTACTGGGATTTCCCAAGAACGGGACGAAATCACCCAGAAAACCTGTTCTGCAACGCGTTAAGGGAATTCTGTAGAGAATTTGGGAGCTCTTGTGGCCTAACATCCGAGAATTATGGTGCCCTAACTCCGTCCCGCTGCAGGAAGACATGGTAGTTAGATGATTCCACTTTTTTTCTTTTTCTGGTTCGAAGAATCACATCTTGCGAGAATTTAGTGGAGACAGAGGATTTAATTTAACTGACGACGATGATATTTAGGTGTATCGACATCAGTCGGAGGTGCTAACGGCGCAGAAACGGCGACAAACGTGTGGCTGGGAAGGAAGAAACGAGGAATCCCAAAGGCTTCCGTGGCTGTCGTTGTTCTTCTTGTATCGTTGGAACTTGGAAGAGAGAGAGAAGGGTGACAAAAGAATCTAAATGATAGAGATTTTTTTAGTGAATTTGTATCGTTTTTCATGATACGGTACAGCTTTTCTACTAAACGGATTAGGGATAGCTGTTACTTGCGGTTGGATTGGCATCTTATGAACCAGCTGACAGTAATCGTGTATCAGCATTCAGATGTGGAGTCCGATCCAATAGTGTGAGTTACACAGACTCTGGCCTAATCTGATATGAGTCATTACATTGTCTTCTGCTTGTTGAGTTGGTGTCTTTGGACTAATCGAGAGAAAAAGGGTCCACCTGTAAAGTTGATATTATTAGACCGCACTCATTGTTGGTCTATGACTTCTCACCATCAATCAACCGTTAAACACTATATCRCGAAAGCTATGTGGGTGGGTTTAGTGAGGTATTTTATGAGGGGTAATGTGGTCCTCCGAATCACATTGCGACATGTGGCYCGCGATACCACGGTGTTGAGTAAGTGAACTAGCTCGGCAAGTTAATCTGAAGCACCTTGTCCAAGCTGACCTYCACCTCGGCTGAGTCAAGTTGACAGGTCTCCCTACCTACAACAACCTGTCTCAGAAACCGACCGAGTTGTAGGAATCTCTGGTGACTTGCAAGCGAGCTCACTAACTTGCCCCGAAGAGACGTTACCAGCCCGAGACCTCCAAAGTATTAGTGCCTCGACCATTAAACCGGCCTACCGCATCGCATGCCCCAAAGTTAGACAAATAGATCGTAACCCCCACGCAGAACACATAACCAATATAATAACTCACCAAACCAAGTGGAAACGGCTCCGCGAAAAGATGAGACCCATTGTAAGGGGGCTCARACTACTGACGCCTATATAAGGTGCCCATTTCTACCTGTGAAGGTACGTATGATTACAAGCTCTCAAGCTCTCACTTTCTAAAATACTATCTAAATACTCTCTGAYTTAAGCATCGGAATGCCCACCCCAGGTAAAGAAAACACGGGCACTCTAACAGTTCCTCTTGTAGAATAGAACCAGCTCGGCCACCTCCAACTCGGCCTAGCATAACTTGGCCTAACAAGTACTATCTAAATCAGAATCCGAGTCATCTGACACACAAGAAGAGCAAGATCGCGAGACATCAATTGGCGCCRTCTGTGGGAAACCAACATAAAAGCTAAGTACTCAATCTTATTTCATAAGTTCCTAAAAACCAATGGCATCATCAAGCAACTAGCCATCCAACAACAACAACCAGGTCACTGGGCAGCTCGAGGCAATCCCAGAAGTCCCCTTAGTGACCATAGGACAAATCGACGTCCCTCTAAACCCTGCATTTGCACCTGTGAACGTGCCTCCCCCTACAGTTGAGCCCACGATGACTCCTGCTAGGGTTGATATGTGCCAATTCAACGACATAGTGCAGTGTGTACGGGGAATGAGCGACCAGTTCAGGTTTTGGGAGAGTAAGTTTGCCACCATGATGGGGGAGGGGGGGGGGCAACAACAACAGCAACAACAACACCACCAGCCTCAACACCAGTAGAACCAATAGGTACAGCCACCTCGGCAGGTACCACGACAGAATGCTGGACTGAATTAGAAAGGCAACCAGAATCCAATCCCAGACCGGGTTCCCTATCAGGTCTAGGTCTCCAACCGAGTCCCTAAACCAGTTAACAACCAACATCCAGTTGACAACGCGGTCCCTGACTTGAACCAGAACTAGTTGCCAATGGAGAGCCGAGCTACAGCTCCCATCGGAACAGAGGCTGCCAACTCATTTGAAGGGTCCAAGAGAAGGCGCAGAAGATGTGCTCATTGCGCCACCAAAAAGAGTCAACTCACTTCAGCTGGGAGAGTGATGGACAAAAAAGTAGAAAGCAAAATGACCAACCAGGTAGGCGCTTCGTTTAAACAACCCCTCATAACTCGGGAGTCACCACTTGCACTGGAAATCCTCAAGGACCTGAGGCTGAAGAACTTCAGAGAGCTGACCTTCGAGATCTACAAAGGTGCAACATATCTGGTTGATCATGCTAACAACTTTCAGGCCCTAATGCTCACGGGGCCAATGACGCCAGCATGTGCATAGATTTTTTCGCCGCCCTTCGAGATGAAGCTCGGCTCTGGTATTCAAGTTTGGCACCTGGTTCACCAACCTATTCATCACACACTTTGCAACGAGTAAAAAACAATCTAAATCAGCGACATGCTTGCTTAATGTAATACAAAAGCCTAATGAAACTCTCTGGGAGTACATAAGAAKATTTAACATGGAACTGCAAATCCCGAATCTGAACCTAGTTGTACAGCTCACTGTAGCCAAGAATGGCATATGTCACCCTGACCTATGCTAGGAGATAGAACTGAACCCCCAACCACTATGGAGGAATTCCTCGACGTGGCAAATAAATTTATCAAGGTAGAAGAAGCATTGGGGTCGTGGTCCGAGTTGTCTGGGGAAAGAAAGCGAGCTGAAGAAGAAGCACGCAGCAACAAGTAGAAGAGGAGAAGCAAGTCTCCCAAAAGAAGCAGGTCACTGAAAATCCGACGAAGCAACTCACCCAAAAGAAAGAGTAAGTCACCTTAGCGGGGTACAAATCAGTGATCTGGCACCCCACCGTTGTACAATAAGACATTTTACCCCCTTGAATGTAAAAAGGGGAGAAATATTGATGCAAATAAAATCAACAAACAATGTAAAGTGGCCACCTAGGATGAAGGGCGACCCAGTCACTAAAAACCCCAATAAGTACTATCACTTCCATCGTGACGTCGGTCATGATACAGAGGACTRTTGGAATTTGAAGAATGAGATTGAAGACCTGATCCGTCGAGGATACCTTAAGCAATTCATGAAAGATGAAGGCAGAYTTGCTGAGCAAGGCAGGGAGGCACCTCAGACGAGTTGGGAACAAGAAGCAGCAGGAAAGACCTGTCTAGGGGGTCATCAACATGATCATCGGAAGGTCCATAGTAGCTGGTTCTACCACCTTGGCCGGAAGGAGCTCAATCAGGGAACTTGAGCATGATAATGACAAT